GCTCCGCCCCCGGCTCCGCCCACTTTTCCCCGGAATTTTTCCGGGGAAAAGTGGGCGGAGCCTAAATTGCAACCCTGGCACGGTTTTGCACTTTTCTCGACGCCGCCCACTTTTCCCCGGAAAACGTTCTACACAGAATTTGCGGGGTCTCTGTTTGTCTCGTATTTTTTTTCGAGTTTTTCTTGTATTTTTTGTCCTTCGAAATTTCATCTATGTTGCCATTTTGTTATCAACCGATTAAGTTTTGTAAGTGAAGCCGAGCGCTGTTCAATAAATTTTGCCCTTTTTATTTCGATAATATAAAACTGTCGCCTGATGGACGCGGTGCAAAACACCGTAATCTTTCTACCGAATGCCGCGTTCAAAGTTGATTTCCAGGAGAAATTTCCTGGAAAAACGCTGTCCAAAGCTGCCATTGTGAGGCCGTACGAATCCGGGAGACACCCAAAAGCGGGAGACATGAAAGCGGGAGACACAAAAGCGGGAGACACGAAAGCGGGAGACGAAAGGACAATTGCTTACCGTAATCAACCGTTCCGTTGTAAAAAATTAGGCAATTTTTCAGTAAATTTGTGAATAAAATACTCGAGATAAATGAAAATATGTTTTTAAAAAAATTGAGACCTTTTTTATGCTCCTGAACATCGTTTTCGGCCGTTTGGTTACTCTCGGTTTGGGAATTAACGGTGGTACGGTAAGCAATTTCGTCTCCCGCTTTCGTGTCTCCCGCTTTTGGGTGTCTCCCCGATTCGTACGGTCTCGCCATTGTTTTCCAGAGGCCTCCGTTTCGAGACCCGCCGTAAATCGACATGAATTAACAGAAAAAACACAGTCAAAATGAGTGCTGCAGTAGTTTAGTGTTACTGGAATTCTGGAAAACAATGACGGCTTTGGAAAGGTTTTTCCAGGAAATTTCTCCTGGAAATTAACTTTGAACGCGGTTTCAGTGAGGAAGCAAATCAGCAAAATTGCTGGCTTTTCTTATACAAAGAAAATCCAGCATTTGTGCTGATTTGCTTTCTCACTGAATAACCCGAAATTGAAAAAATTCCATTAAAACATTTACAGGTTGACCCCCGATATATCAAGCATGTCGCCTCATCCGGCGATTAAGCGGACTTCCACAGTAAATTCGAATTCTAAATGGGAGTCAACCTTTCCGGCAGACATCCAAACTGAGAAAAACTCTGCAACATTTGTGCACCGATTCATAAGCATCACATCAGCTTTTATTCTGGACAAGCGCGGAATTCTAGGCGAAAAGCACTTCAAGACACGAACAATCGGTATTTTGGGTATATTGACAACTTCGAAACTATGGTTTGTATTATAGAAAAGCTCCAAATTCCGGTATTCGAAAAAGAGAATTCGGTTTCCGTCCGACTAATCAAGAAAATAGACGCGCTGAAGCAAGCCGTTGTCAATAAGTATCTGCGAGAGTTCGCTGTTGTTCTCTACCAAAAGCCTGATGAAGAAGATGTGAAGGAAGTATTCTCATTTCGACTGATGTATGGAGAAGAAGACCAGATCAGCATCTCGGTTGATACGTTAGTTTTGAAGATTTTCTATGAGCTAAATCAAGTTCTGTAGGGGTATCAATTCTGATGTGTTCAGTCAAAATCTTGCCAGCGCTACGTTTTCCGATCTGGGAACTACGAAACAATATTTTGTTGATGCAATTAGAAAGCTTCATCGTTGTATCAAGCACTTGGAAACTCTTCCCGCTGATACCGATGCAAGTTTCCGAATTTCTTTTACGGAACGTGAGTTGAGATTGAAGAGTATCCGTTTCTCAATTTGATAATCAGATGCTCCGAAGGACTACATGCCAGAAGGATTCGATGAGTCGGACAAGTTCTACGAGATCGCACCGGAAATGACCAGAGATCAGTTTGGAATTCTCTGTGGCAACCACCACAAACTGCAACTTCTTGCTGCTTCACAATTCTGGAAACCCGGCGACTTTGGCAATACAACTTTCAATTCTCTGAACCAATCGATCGTTGATGCACCCACTTTGAAGACCAAACAAACCAAAGGAGTGGAAAAGAAATCTGAAAGAGTCGGAAGACGTTTTCCTTACGGACAATCCGCAACAATGAACAAAGGCAACCGAAAAACGCCAGAACCTGATTAATGATGATTCTTTAAAATTTCTATCATGTGCCATTTCTTCTTCTTTATAGAAATCTATTCTACTAAACTGCATGTGCAATCAATGTTCTGTTATCCTATTTTTTTAGTTAAACACATGTTCACACCGTTTCATAAGTCTACAACGCAAGACATAATAAACGTATCTTGGTGTAGTTGTTGCGTTTTCACAAAAGAGAGAAGCAACGAAGAGAATGCTTATCGGTACTTTATCAAATGCTCCCTTCTCACTCACACGAGAAATAATCATCATTCCATGTGTTGACTCATTCGATTTGATCGGCATCATGCGAGTTTAACTGTTAGTTGTTTACAGAGAAACGAAAAAGTTTCGCACCAGGCCTGGGTAAATCAAAAAAATTGATTCTTTAAAAATTTTAATTTTTAATAAAATTCCATTACACCCTGTCTCAACCTCAATATCGCCATCATTTTTATGATTCACTTTTAAGTCAAAAGTGTGATAAGCGAAGTTTCCTTCTTCATTTTACATGTTATGAAACGATTCGTATAGTTAGAAAACCCACCCAATTTCAGAATGTTCTTGGACGATCTGAAAACAGCAAGAAAAGTGAGCTTGGCTATACTGCTCGTCACAATTCAACTTATTGTGATTTCTGCATTTGGAGCGAGTAAGTTTCAAAAAAAACCTTAATTTTAAACTGTTTTCAAGCATAAGTGGATCTATCCCTTTTTCCTCTAATAGAAGCCCATCCAAACCACCAACATTGAGCTCAATCATATCCATTCCTGTGAAAGATAACAAATATCTGTCAACTGAAAAAATATTTGGTATTATGGAAAATAATTTGTCCGTTGACCAAGTTTTGATATTTCTCACAGTAATCAGATAACTGATCTCAAAGTAGAAGGTTCGGGCTTCTATTACAGGATTCGTTATATCATTCCGAACCTTCAAAGAAAAGCCTAATCATACAATAATAAGTTGATGATAACCATAGATGCCTAAATTTATAGTCAGATGGTTTTTGATATCTCTTACAGAATTTGATTGAGCTGTGCTTAGAGGGTGACGTTCTATTAGAGTATTTACAGGAATTTACATTCCTTTGAATTTTATTGATTTTCACCCAATTGATAAGACATTTCATGATACCACACCTTAATTTTGAACTAGCAGGAATTTCTAAAAATGTAAGGAAAAAAGTTTAAAAAAATGACGAATATGTTCTCAATGATCTAAAGTATATTTCCTTCAGGATGGACATCGGGATCGTTCGAGGTGATAGTAACTGGACATGGTTTTGTTGTTGGAACATCCCCTCCATACTCTACTCTTATTCCATATCCATCGGTTTGTATAAAGTATATTCCAGCATCTATTTCCTGCTTTTCAGAACGCTGATTGGTGGTATGGGTTAACAGCAGTTGTCATGTATCTAGTTCTTATTATCTGCTTCTTGTATGTTTTATGGACCATTGCACAAATGTGAGTTTTCCATAAGAATCTATTCATAATTATTGTTGGTATTTAGCGCTCTACCTGACAGAATTCCATTAGACTTGAAAATGATCGTGTTTGTTGATGTGGTATTCTCAGCTATTCTAACCGTGATGCTGCTAGTTGCCTATTGTTTCTTTGCCGGTGGATTCGGAGGAAAGACGTACCTTCCCACTTTGGTTGGTTTGATATTTTTATAAATTAATCTTTTCAAATTAAGGCTTCAGGGTTTCGGTTACTGCTTCTGGTTGGCCATTACCTCTTCTCTTGCCTCTTTTGCAGTTGTGATTATTTCTGGATTGAGTTGGTACCGAAACAATTAGATCTTATTGTCTGACAAATCCCAATTCCTGTTGAATTTTTCTTTCTCTTTGAACAATATTTTGCCAACTTTATACATCAGAATAATAATTATTGATACACATGAAATAAATGTTTTCGATAAATATTTTTGTGATGAACGGGAAAGTTTTGATTTGACTCAAGAGATTCGAAGAAAAGCTGGATCGGGTACGACTAGAATGGGTCGGTATTTGGATGGGTGTATCGTACAGTTTAGGTGCTCTCGGTGGCCGCAGTCATCTCCAGAATTGCGCTGACAGCAGATTCCTTATCACCTCTTCTCTCCTCAAGAATGCACTTGATGACTTCCTTGTCGACCGTCGGGAACATCTCCTGGATCTCCTTGGTGTCTTCCTCTGTGATTTCCACTGCTGAAAAATCATAAAAATAATCAGCTCTTGTATTTTGAAAAGGTCTTACGAAGCGGTGCTGGAGCATCTTCCTGAACTTGTTGAGTTTCCGGCAAAGGAGTTGGCAAGTCGATTGGAACGAAAGCGAAGTGAAGATGGATCATTCCCTCTTTTCCTTCTCCTTGTTGTCCAGATAATTGGAAGTAGTCTTCAAGATTATCTCCGTTGAAGATTGGCAATGGCAGCATGATATGAGCCCAAGCAATGACCTCGTCTGGTCCGAACGCTTTCTCGTCGAAGATCTGAATGTAGATACTCTCCACATTCATTGGAAGGTACGCATTCAGAGTTCGGTTCCAGGTTGGAGAACGACCAGCATTGGCAGCCACATTCGTGTCGAAGGCAACGTTTCCAACACGGACTCTACAATTTCTCTTTTTTAGCTGCAAATGTTTCTCAACTAACCGGCAGTATGGGTCCATTCGAACCAGTCCATAGTTCTTGACAAGATTCGCCTCGAGAATAGTGACAGAGAGACGTCCGCGAGTGTTCGGAGGAACGAAGCTCACGATACGTGGTTGGACAACCTCTGGCTCAGCAACTTGTTGAACTGGAACAGCAAGACGAAGGAAGTGAGGTGGTAGCTCTCCAACGAGAACCTAAAAGATTTCAAAATAAAACTATCGTAGAACCTGTATTAGAAGGGATCCCATACTGTAAAGTTTGAACTCAAGTATCTTAATTCCTATGCAAGATATCAAAAATGTGTCCAGTGACAAAACAAAGCTCAAAGTGAGCGGCTCTTCTATTTAGGTTTTCCGGTATTTCTGGATGTTGATTCTCATTTCTTGTTTTGAGTTTCTGTGTTTGTTTTGATGTTCGGTTACCTTTCTACGACGTTCAGCGACAGTTTCCGTGTTCATTGTTTCTTGCGAAAAATGTTTGTTTTTAGATTCCTGAAATGACTTGACGTCAATGTTTGTTCACTGATTCATGTAGTGGTTAAGAAACGAATAGTCTCATCGATTGGACTAGAATAGACAAAATTATATAAAAATAGAAAAGAAAAGTGTCATTTGGAAACCAGCTGAAATATTACGAAAAAGGGAGAAGGAGGAAAAATCGATAAGGTGAAGCAAGGGAAGAAGCAGCCAACAAGAACAACCAGTTGTGAAGGAATAGAAAGAAAATGAAAAATCGGAAAATAATTAAGAAATTTGAATAGAAATTTGAAATTGAAGATTCAGAGATAGGGTGCATCCTTGTAAACGGGGCACTGTGATAGTTTCTTTTAGAATCAAAGGTTTTTGGACCAAATCAATCAGATATGACAGAACGCAACGAGTACTACAAAATGATCTTTTTTGGAAAATTTTATCTTATCTATGAAGAAACTTGTAAATCATAAAGTGGCTGATCCGGGAATGGTCCTGTTTTTTTCAGTTCTTTTTGTCTATAACTTTGTTTATAGAAAAGAGACAGTTCTCCGATTAGTCTCGTTTTTTGTACTCGTTGAGTTCTATCACATATAATTGAGTTGGTCCAAAAATATTGATTCTAAGAGACACTATGGTAGGGCCCACGAAGGCCCGCTAGGGCTCTTTTTACATATATGAAGGTGTGGATTTTTTGGAAATTCAAAAAGAACGTTCGAAAAAAAAGAATTTGTATGAATAAAATATCGGGATACCTTTCGGAGAAGGGAAAATATGAGCATTAATACTTTATGATTCTGGGACAATGGAAATGTAAAACAATCAATTGTTCTAAAAACGTTTGGATTTTATTAGGATTCATAAGAGTCATGTTTCAGAAAGAATAATACCATTGAATTAAGTTGATTGGGAATCAAGGCTGTGCCACGGCCGGCTTTTACTACGGCCGAGCCGGCCGCGGCTTCAGAAAAAATTTTTGAAGAAGCCGCGGCCGGCCCTGGCTAGCCGTGCGGCTTTTCACGGCTTTTTGAAATAATTGTTTCATGAGAAACGTAGATTTTTTTTTGAAAAGTAGGACAAAAAAACGAAATTATTTAAAAACTAATTGATTTTCACTTTACGCGTTTTCATGAGGCTATCCGCGGCCGGCCTCGGCTAGCCACGGCTTTTCACGGCTTTCACAAAAAAGCCGCGGCCGGCCTCGGCCAGCCGCCTTTTTGCACAGCGATGGGAATATAAAAAAGTGGTAGGGTTTCAATAAGTTAGGGTTATGAAACAGATGGAAATCGATTCTTTAAGTTGCACATTTTTTAAAGAAGGAAGAATACAATTTGAAACTCCTTATTTAACCAAAAATCTTGATGTATAAACAAAAACAATCAACAATACAGTCATGTGGGGTAAATGTAAAAGGCAAATATGTCATATTCCATCAACAAAAAAATTATCCAGACTTGAAATTGTCATGACTACTATTGCAGATGGCAGTAAACATAGCGTCTCTTCTTCTCTCTCGTTCTGTTTTTCTCTATGCCTCTCTCTTCTTCATCATTATGGCTCTATCTCTCATCATCTCTCACAAGGTCGTTGTCTCCTCCATCCACCATTCTCCATACTCTCTCACTTTCTGTCCCAATTTTTTGTTTGTTTCTCTGACCACTCTATACGTGTTCCCGTGATCTCTCGGTCGATTCAGTAGTCGCAGTCCCTCGAGAACCCCAACCAACTTTTTCGACAAAATGGACGGAAAGAAACGCCAAGAAGACGTCGAAAAATGTCTCAAAAAGGAAATATTGTTCTTGAAAAAACCTTATATTTGGAACTCAATTCTCTTTTTCTTTTTTTTTCTATTTTTCTCTTTTTCACACCATTCAAAAAAGAAAATAAAAGAAAAGAAACCGATGACCCAAATGACCTTGTTAAATTCTGACTGTTCTCTCTTCTCCATTTTGTCCATTTCGACTTTTTTTTCTTATTGCATTTCAAGTTGAACCAACTTCATCGAGATACCAGAAAGTTTCAAAAGAACAAACTGACCAGGAACCTCATTATTTTTTGTGGTTTAGAAAAGGGATGAAAAATAACTCGTCTTGAAACTGACTCGTCTTGAAACTGAACCCCCCCCCCCCCCACTTTGCACTTCCTCTATAACGACACTTTTCTTTGTCCCAAATCAATTCCTTATCTTTGTCCCAAATCAATTCCTTATTTTCTTTCCTTTCATTCTCTTTTCCATGTCACATCGTTTACTTTTCAATAGGTGGTCAGAAAAGACACATTTTTCCTTGTGAACAGATTATTTGAATTCTAGGTGAACTGTATAAGAGGTCGTATGAGAAGGTTTGGTTTTTTGTGGGACCTATTCTGAACTTTTATTACTTTGAAAATTTTAGAGAACCGCAAACACTCGGATAGAGTGTTTTACCAATAAGCTAACTTTGAGTCCATATATCTCATCCCCTGTAGAAGATATAAAATAGTGGTCAACGGATAAAAGATTTATCATAATATCATCAGTGTTTTGTCATTTGATACATTTCTGATATCTTGCCTAGGAATTGAGATGATTGGTAATTGAGAATGACCCTCCTCACTTTCAACTTCGAGCCAATTTATCTCGAATCCTGTGAAAGATATCAAAAAGTGATCCACTGACAATATTTTCATCAAATTATAAAAAATATTTTATCAGTCGACTGTTTTTTTATATTTCTTTTGCAGGGAGATATATAATCTCAAAGTTGAACGTTTGGGTGGCACTCTATTAAAGTGCTTACGATATTTGATTTCAGCTTGCATAGTGGAGAAGTTAAAAATTTTGTAGAAAATTTACCTAGAAATTGAAACAAATCCAAATTCAAGTTTTTTCAGGTTACCGTGATCCAGACTGGATCATAAATTATGCGTTTTGTAGTTCATTAATAATTTTCCAGGAAATAAATTTTCTTATGATTCGTTTTTCCTTACAATCATAGACTTTGAGGGATTCGAAACTGAGAGGTTTTCAAGCTTAAAAATCACAAAAAACCAGGAACTCACACCAAGTAAGTGAAACCCAGCTCTCTTGGAACTGAAAAAGGGAAAAAACTGTCCCCCAATGTTTTAAATTTCATGTTATCAATGGTCCACAATGACTTGTCTTCTTGGTTGACGCCAACTCGTTTTCCTATCTTCTTTTTTCTTTTATTCTTTTCCTAAAAACGGAAAAGTGTGCATCCGTAATGTAAAAGCACACATCAACTTCTTTTTTTTCCTCGCCTTCATCTTTTTCTCTTCAAAACGACAACGACAAACTGACCATTTTTCGGCTTTTCTTCTTTTTCCCAGAATCCTTCTTTTGTGTATTTTATCATACTTCGCCAAACTCTTTCCAGAAAAATGGAATTTTTTCTGGAATTCAATTAAAAAGTATTTGAGATAATTGAAAACTTCCTCTCGTTTATTTTTCAGTTTCCGTTGTCTCTCAATACTTTATTTCCGCTGAACGAAACTTCGATTAACAAGTTTTCATCTTTTTCAAATTTTTTTTCCAGAACATTCCATTCTTCACATTCTCACACACTTTCCCCATCTCTTCAAGTTTCTTCAATTTGATCTCTTATCTTTATATCTTTTTCTCCATCATTCTTTCATCTTGCTTCCATTTTCTCATAGTCACTTTCGAACACATTCTTCCTCCTCCCATTGGCTTTCTTCTTCTTTTTCAAAAAGATTTTGGTTTTCTCTCTGTGCTCTTGTGATACTTTTTTTGAAACTTTCAATTGAATCCCAAAAAACTAAAACGAATGTAAATATTTCCAAAGTTCTCATCTTACTTTTTTTCGAAACAAAGAAGAGAGAGAGAGAAGAGAGAGAGAGAGGAGAGAGGGTG